CAGTTGAAAATGTACTGAATATAAATTTAAAAAGTAAACTCTTAAATTTGTACATTTTAAACAGTAATCTACTCAGTCTGTCTTGATTTGAAAAAACGATTAATATTTATTATTATAATTTTTTTTATCAGTCTTTGAGACTTTTGCTTTGGGGCACCCTGTGGATGTAATCTATCATGGGAAGTGATCATATACTCCAAAAAAATCTTTAGAAATATGCAATTATTATGAAGGTTTCGCATTACATGCATTCACCTAAAAATAAAATCCACTAAGCATTGAAAAGCTGGCAATCAACCAATCACAAAAGACAATTACGCATATTTAATTACTTTCCTAGCTGGTGGTGGCACAATAATACTAAGTTTGATTTTGGTTAGAGTACAATTATTGAAAGAATTGCATTATTCGTTTCCTTTAAGAATAAGTTACAACTTAAAGTTGTGGTCATAGTATGAATTTTATACTAATATTATTAACTAAGATAATTAAGTTAAACTTTCCACGTCAGTGTGTGTATAAAACTTGGAAACTGGATCTAACATGTGTAGCCTAGATATTAATTAACAACCATAATTTTCGTAGGGCCTACTATATTACGCTAAACATTTAAAGAATAGACTTCCTTACGTTGTAATCATATTAGACTGTAATGTTATTGAAGAAAACCATTCAACAAAAACAACATGAAATTATAAATATAAAAATTATTAGGTTCATATTCCCACGTCTGTGCATGCATAAAACGTAATTTCCTAAAATTTAGATATGACTTCCTTATCATTTAGGCTTAATGAATAATTGCATGTGGGTCTGAAGCTAATTGAGAAAGTGTTCCGTTTAGAAGTGGACTAATGTGGTCATAATACCATTCAACAAGCAACATAAAAACATCAACATTTTAGGTTAAACTTTCTACTTCGGAGCATTCATATAACTTTTTTTTTTTTTGATATGAGAAGTTCATGACATTGAAGAATGTACTGATCATTAAACATGTAGACAATTACTGTTGTCCGGTTGTGTGCATTCAAAATGTGACGACGACCATATTGTCGCCAGACACCCAATTCTACATCAGGCTACAGGCCTCGGTTGACACTTCACATCAAAGGGCCTGTTGATTAATCTGGTATAGGAGCCTGTCATGACCTAGCTACGGTGCCTCCTCCTCATCATCATCTTCATCATCATAATTATTAATTGTCCATACTAAAGTAGGGAAAAACTATGAATTCAGATTTTATTCATGCATTAATAGAGGTCTCATAATGCACGAAAATTGCATTTCCAAGCATCTAGCATAACCTTCCAAAGGAGGACCAAAAAGACTCCCTCCACCCTTCACCCACCCCACGTCTAAAATTTGTCTTCTACAAGCAAAAATTACGCTCTCTTCTCATGACTCCACCCAACCTGGGACCCCATCTGTGCGCGATAGTCAGGGTAAAGTCTGAATCTACCACTGCTATCCCCTCCAAATTACTCTACAACATCATGTCTGTTTTTTTCCCTTGTGCCAAGACCAGTGGCAGCTCTAGGATATATTTTCGGGGAAACGGGGCTAGGCTGTCCGACAGGAGGACTTAAGCTCGTAGGCCCGAGCTGGGAGAAGGGTTTGAGAAGAGGATCCCCCTTCCAACTCCTAAATGAGATATTTTTTTTTAAAGAATAGGAACCTCTGGAATGCCCTGAAATAGCACTCTCAGACTGTGACAGACATGTGTTGATTTGGTGTGGGCCAATATTTATATTTTTTATGGTATGACTGCCCGACGAGCTCTGTCCAACAGGGGGAGGGTTTGACCTGTCCGGTTGGGCATTGGCTTTTAAACCAGCGCTGCTCTTCTCCTCGCTGGCGCCGCCACTGGCCAAGACCTTTGCCCCGCACCTTGACTCTGTCAAGTATATGCCAGAAAATTTGTAAATGAACTGCATAAAATGGGAAGAGCGAATATGACGTTATGCCATAAAAGCAAGTGTTTATTAAAAGTTTTTTAATTTAAAAAAAAGGGATTTGTTGATGATGGTGATCTGATGGTGAGGAATTTTACTATAATAATGAAAGTGTTATTTTTGGCCACCTATAGAGATATATATTTCTTCAAATTTTCGCACCTCACCATGGTGGTGCTCAGATTAATGTAGACTCATGTATGCCCCTTCTCCCCCACTCCACCTTTCAAAAAAGACCTTTGCCCTTGCTCTAGCCTCATTTGTGATGGGCATAGTTTGATTTCATTAGTCCTTCCATCACTCATTAAACTATCTCAAGGCCTGTCACCATCATCCTCTTAATCGCCATCGCCATTGAATTTGACCTCTTAATAGCGTAAATTTTAGCATTTAGTCAATAAATGAGGACGCTTTCTTTTATCTATAAATTGAACTAAATATGTATCAATAATTCGCAATGCAAATTACAATACATTTATGATGGAGTAGGCCTACTGAATGTAACAATGAAAGTTGTATATTGTTTCAGATTCGGTGCTAATTATATTCAAAGTAAGTCTGAGAGTGGCATTTTTACACATCTATATTTGCCAAAATAATCATATATTTTCTTCAGCCCCACCATGATGGGCTAAGGTAGTTTAGCTCCTCCATCTGTGAAAGTACCACCCTGGGATCCCTCTACTATAAAAAATTCATAGATGCGCCACTTGATTTGAATTCTATATGAAATTAGTCAATACAAGTAATATGTAATATCTTTATCAATTGTACTTTAACTTTAATCTTGCCTTTTGTAATGTATTGCCAGAGGATAACCAATTTCCTTGTTTTATTGGACAATAAATCTTATCTTACACAGTGAGGGGCATACCGATACTCATTTTAACGATCAAGAAAAAACAATGTTTAAAGATTTTCAAATCGCTAACTTATTAATTTTCTGCTCATAGGGGAATTTCCTGGGCCCCCTTGTGAGTGTTCTGTGATGCCACTAACTCCACACTTTCTCCTGTCGGAGCCTTCTCCTTCCCCTCCCCTCCCGACCTCCATTGTGTATCTGGGAGCCTTGAAATGGGGCGGGGGGAGAATGTAAAGGGGGTCGGGGATAGATGACTAGGTGGGAGCGCCAGCTCGCAAAATAAGGTGATTTGAGGCCTTGCACAATCGGCAAAGTTGGACCAGGTTCAACCTTCCAGACAACTGCCAGCGACTGTCGCCGATAGAGTGAGCGATTCTATGGAAAACGGGCTTACCCGGGACGAAATACATGAGCAATCAATTCAATTTAGAATTCAATATAGAATATTTAAAATAAATCAATCTGTGTTCACTTTTTCTCAAATTCTTAGCTTAAGGTAGATTCACACCGAATTCGACTTCGATTCTTAAAACGTTTTCGATGCGCATCTTAGTACGCGCCTCTATTCTTTACCACTGATTCGATATTCTTTTTTCGTTTCGTTAGCCATACGAACAGAAGTCGGCTTCGGTGTGAATGCAGCTTTAAGCACAGTCGTCGAAAATGATGCATGCTGTACGTATCGCCCTAGGCATTTAGCCCTTTATAAACCCGCCGTGCCAACCATGAACCGCCATGCCCAAAATTATGTAGTTTCTACGCATGCTGTAGAATTTTAGGACTTTAAATTTGTGGTAAATTGTGGTCATTTTTTTAATGTACAGTATTATTTGGGATTTTCCATGGTATAGCCAAGAAAAAAAAATAGCTCTACTCATTGAGACTCAAAAAAATTAGTGTGTGATCAGTACACTTTCTGTCCATAAAGGAAATACTGTCATAGATTGAGGTTCTTATCACAATCTCGATCGCGTTTACGACGAAAAATTCTAGCACATGCGTAACTACATAGTTTGGGGCACGGCGGCTTAAGGTTGGCACGGCGGGTTCAGGGTAAAATGCGTCGACTAGGCATAGGAAATGCTTTTTCAGGTGTGTTTGATAAAACACGTCCACAAAACTTGATACGACTTATTCTGTCACCGCAAACGATGCAAGTGTGGGAGAAGCATCCCTCCACTCTATGGGAGAAACAATCACACTACTGGCAGTAGACGCGTTACTATACAGAGCCAGGCCAACAGGCCAATTTTATGCAAGGGCGACCTGTTTTAGCCGCTAAAATTTTGGCGGCCAAAAGTAGTCCGACGACCGATTTTGGAGGCAAAAATCTGTCCGCCGGACCTTTTTTGGTCCGGACCGATTTTGGTGTGACAGTACCTTCAAGATAATGCATAATACAATGGAGATAGTGCATAGTACAATGAAGATGGTCTATTCATGCTGTACATTGTTGGATCATGCCAGATTTGGTCTACACATGTTGTCTATATTTGGATCAGCACGATTGCATAATGTACGCTATTAGCTTAACGAATTTATCCATCGAACATATTATAATCGAAAACATCATATTTAAGTTATTATTTAAGTATGCATATATATATCTGTCTCTTATACACATCTAGATGTGTATAAGAGACAGGCCTCCTCCTCATCATCATCTTCATCATCATAATTATTAACTGTCCATACTAAAGTAGGGAAAAACTATGAATTCAGATTTTATTCATGCATTAATAGAGGTCTCATAATGCACGAAAATTGCATTTCCAAGCATCTAGCATAACCTTCCAAAGGAGGACCAAAAAGACTCCCTCCACCCCTCACCCACCCCACGTCTAAAATTTGTCTTCTACAAGCAAAAATTACGCTCGCTTCTCATGACTCCGCCCAAAAGGCTAAATTAGTGTGTTTTTTGGTATATTAACTGCTTCTGCTTCACATAACTCGGCAACCATAGGTCGCTGTGGTAAACGGTCAAGTTTAGCTGATGATAAATGAAGCTTTCTTGTTACATTAGATTCTATTATGATATGGATTCATCCAAGCATACAATGTGAATATCAATTGTTTAATTGTTAGTACAGTATCCGTTCTTACCGGAATAGTGGAAGGGCAATAATCTTTTAATCCAATTGTTATTGTGCTAGCAATGAAAACTACAAAATATAATTTAACTGTCATAACATCTCAGTGAGATCAACTCGATCTGCATGTAGCAAGTCGTTTAAAGGTAAATTGTTGAACCTATGTAGTATTTTATTTTGTTAGTTCCTGGAACCTCGCCTCCTTGGTGATTTCGGAATTTGTTATTTAAACCAATGAAATAAATAGGATTAGATTTGATTTGTTTTTAATGCAGTGATTCTTGTATCGAATATTATATCTGCCGCCAGCATCTTCCTATGGATAGATACGTGCGTCATAATGCAGGCCTATATCTTTTTTTTTATTTTTATTATTTTTATTATTATTATTATTAATTTTTTCCTGGTTTAATTTAATTAATTTACTTATGATAAAGATCAATTTTTATACTTATGTTTTTATTGTATGTACTGAGGGTCCCAATTGATCAGGTCAGACTGGATGGACAACCCTCACAAAATATTGTTGAAATAAAATAAAATAAATAAAATAATACTGTATACTGTAAATTTACAATGTATTCATTTTATTTTATATAAAGCTTAGGACGTCACAAAGGTAATAAAAGGAAATAAATGATGTGAAAAAATCTTTGTATGCCATTGCTATTAAATAAATGTTATATGCATATGTGAGTACTGTAAGAGTAATTGGTATTGCCATTCATAGAGGAATGCTGTATTATTGTTTTGTAGGTCACACGTAGACCAAATTTCCTAGGCCTAGGAAACTCAATTACCTCGATTTGAGTCGATTTTTGATTGTATAAGGCGATATTTCAATTCCCTTGCAAGCAGTTGAAACGTGCTATCAGTTAAACTTGCCTAGGTCAAATCCAAGATACCATTGAAAAATTGTTCGACTTAGATAAAATTCGACTTACAATTTGTTAATTAATGGAAAATACAACAATTTACCATGTAAAATAAGGCTGACTTAGAAATTATTCGACGTTAGCAAAGTCGACTTAGGCAAGTTCAACTGCATTTCGGGTTTCTTTAACTGTCTTCATTCTATTTAGGTCCTTATTGTAAAGCTACCTGTTACTGTTAGCTGCGAACTACCGGTTATTTTATAATCGAGTTTTCATTGGGATTAAAATTATGGCCTATCATCAGGGCAAGTTCATGTGGCTGTCAACAAATCCAGTTTCCGGGAAAAAATAAACGATTCGCAATGTTATAATATAGGCGTACAACTTATTGTCTAATACCTGTGTCACAATCCGAAATAAAATAGATGTATAGAGTAACTCATTGTTATTGTTTATTACACAACTCCAAACATATTTTTTTTTCAGTATGTTGGAGGATATAACGAGCAGTGTATCTTTACTATTATTAGCTGTCGTCTTGCTAATAACATGGATGTACATGAACATACGGCGGCCACCTGGAATGCCACCTGGTCCAACACCCTACCCTTTCATTGGGAATGTGTCAAGTAAACGATTGGTTTCTAATTGGTTTCCATAAAATCGCTACATTCTCGCTACAGTGTTTTCACTGCAATTGTAGTTTACCACCCGATGAAATCGGGAAGAATATGATTGTACCAATCGAGTTGCCGAAAGTTGTCGGTGATAGCTTGCGTCGATTTTATGGAAACCAGACTTATTAATGTTATATAAGAAATTAAATCCTATGTGTAAGTCTCAAAAATATAAAAGAAACAATTTTTATAGTTTGTTGAGCAGTGGACACGATACCAAATTGATCTGCCACAGGTAAGGTTCGTAATTACGTGTTCTCTTTGTATATTTCTTATGTTTTAGTATTAATGGGAAAAACCGCAGGACAGGAGATTTTCAGAGATATGACGAAGAAGTACGGACCCATAATTTCCTTCAAGGTTGGACCTTCCTGGTCTGTAGTAATCAACAATTACGAGTTGACACAAGAAGCTTTGTTGACGAAACCAAATGATTTTAGTGGACGTCCTACTCTCTATCTTCGTAAGTCTGTTAATACATACTAGTCATTTTGAGCAAAACAACCTGAATTAAACTCAATAGGAATTCTTAAATTTTATTAAATAAAACTCCAATGTTAGTAAATTTTACTAACATTATAGAACATGATTACCCATCCATAAAATTCATAATACTGTTCCTAGGCCTATATTTTTGGGTACTTTGAAACTTTCTATATTTCAAAGTAAATATTTATTTTCATATCTTTATTATTTGAGAATATCATTGTTAAAGTCTCATAATGAATTATTGCGCCCTCAATTACTCAACTAAATTTTAGTAAAATTGTGTATAAAATGTTATTACTGTATTAAGTGGATTGGTTTAGTGACAATCAGAAGGATATTGCCTTTGCTCAACCTACTCCAATCTGGAAGTTCCACAGAAAACTAGCTCACACCGCTATCAGGTTAGTAGTATCCCATCACGATGATTTATATCCACAATTTAAATTTAAAAGCTCTGATGTAGAGTGTCAGCACCATATGAAATGTAGTGACTACCACTACACGTACAGGTATCTGTAAACTTTAATGCCTTTGCTGTTACTTACCTGCGAATATTGGGTGAATAATGTCTGATATTGGTCTATACTGCAATCATTTTCATCACCATGGGGATGGTTAGGTTTTCTAGGAATCTCCATAATTTCTTCCGGAATATGAATTTCTCCTGGACTTCTCCGGCTTTTTAACAAATTGTCACTACTCGGTCTTAGGCTAAGCTAAATTTTCCAATATGAGGACAATGAGGCAGCCATGAGAATTATCGAACAATCTGGGCGGGAATAACGTATTAAAAGTGGCCCAAACAGACCAAATCCTCGTTTCAATGTAAACATTTTAGCAGGTACACGCGTCGCAAACCTGTCAGTTGACTCCCCTGAACATATTTACAAGCCTGACACATTTTAATTGAATGTACTGTAATCGAATTGATTTATGTATGTCAAAGAAAGTTAAGACTAACAGATAAAATAACGCAATAAACTAAAAAACAGATTTTAGCATAATACAATACAGTAGTTTCAACTATTAAGTTTGCGCAATCTACCTTTCAGAAAATACGCAACTGGCGAATACTTGGAGAAACTCATTGAAGAAATTATACCGCATGTGAAAGATGTCTTGACGCAGAAGGCTTGGGCGCCATTCGATCCAGGCGAAGTCGTCACACTCGCAGTCTATGATGTTATTGCTTCAATGTGCTTTGGCCATAAGTAAGTATTATAATATTATTGGTAAAGGAAAGATCTTTAGAACACATTACGAAGAGCGCATTTTTAACATATACTACGAAGAGTTCACAAGGTAATTATGCATGCACACTTTTTGTAATAAGGTACGACAAGCTCGATTTGTGTTTCCAACTTCTGCTACATGTTACATTCCAACATTGTATTCATTAGTTCATAGGCTACTAAAATGAAGATACGCACCTTTATAATTCGATTTCTACACGTGATTCTTTTTCTGTTGCACTATCTAGGAAGTTTTAGAAATTTAAACGTATGACGTAAGAAGCCGTATGCTAATTATATAACTGGTCTTCATAGTCATAGTCTACATGTTCAATTCAGAACACCAAAAAAACAAACGTTATGTGTAATAATAACGTATGCGCACTTCGAAGTAGGTGGAGACAAGTCAGTAAGTGGTTGCGTGCAGCATCTTGTCGCATGGTCTTTAAAACCGTTCTAATATTTCTTTAATTTCTGTTATAGGTATGCCTTCAATGACACTCACTTGCTTAGATTCATCCTGCTATCAAAAGAGATGAATAAGCTATTCGGAAATGGTACCCTTGCTGACTTCGTTCCCTTGGCTCGGTTCATACCAAGTCCAGTAGTCAATAGACTTAAGAAATTGGCAACAGAGTTTCTAGAGTTAATTCAAAAATAAGTCAGAAAACATTTAGATAGTTACAGTCCAGGTAAATACAATTAGTTCTGAATGGCATTCAACCATAACATATTTGAGTTTATAATCTCTTATGCGCTACATTATTTGGAAATTTCCTAACAATAAAAAATAAAAGGTGGCGGATCCAGAAAACCTTTGTGGGAGAGGGCAAGGATGGACTTTCACAAATGGAGGGTCCAAGTCACTGCAGTCCACCAATAGGTAGTTTTCACCGCACGACGTTAACCTTAACGTTAACGGATGATGTCATAATTTATTCATCTTGCGTTGCCGAGTACGTTAATTTCAGGATTTTACGTGCTCGACGTAAGTTAGTTACGGGTTTGCACATGCGTATTTCGATTTGGTTACAAAAGGGCGGAGCTATCGCGCTTCATCTTGGGTACTAACGTTAATGTTAAGGCTAACGTCGTGCGCCGAAAACTACCTATTATCGCTACGGCACCTTATATGCCCAGAAAGGGATTTAATTTGAATATGCTCAAGTTTTCTTCTCTGAGATATTATTTAGATTATCCTTTTTTTTTCTTGAATCCTCAATGTCACTTTGCCACTTCATTCTTTACAGTATCATGTTGTATAAAACTAATACTATGGGTAATTATAGGAATGATATGTGTGGCATAAAAATGCTCATATAGAAATTATGGTTCGAGTTCAAACTGGAATGGATTGATATTGTGGTAAAACCCAGCAAACAATATTACATTATAAGAACGTTATAATAACGGTACAGTTGTTGAAAACGTTATTTTGTAAAACCATAAATATGCACTTACAATGTAATTGCACAGATAGTTAACATATGGACGTTCCTGCGACGTTGTGTGAACTTAATTCTGTGACATACTTAACCACAACGTTCGCGAACGTTATAAAAAATGTTGTATTTGCTGAGAAAATCATTATCACTAAATTGCGTTTCTGTAAATAAGAATTGATCATCATAAAAATCTATTTCGTCAGATGAACCCGCCAATGATCTAATAGAGCTTCTTTTACAAGCACAGAAAGAAGCAGAAAAAGAGGGAAATGAAGACATTTCCAGTAAATTAACAGACGTATATATCAAACAAATCGTGTCAAACCTGTTCAGTGGTAAGCGATTTATTGCTGTCAAAAAGTTCATACATGTACTATTTAAAAAATATTGCCATAATTATAATGTAATGTCCGTTATATATTTAAATTTTTGAGCAATGTCTATTATAAATATGAACACAATGATCTTTGCAAACAGTTGGTTGCTTTCCAGAAAAGATATAAGACCTAAATGGTAAATGGTACCACTTTGGATTATAACACCATTAGGATATCTGCACGGTATTCTTAGAGTAAACTTTCAGCTCTTTATACCGATTTGTTTATGTTATTTCTTATTTAATCGTTTTTGTAAATGTGTATTCTATGGCAGCTGGTACGGACACATCATCAACAACATTACTGTGGTGTATCGCCTGTATGGTCGACAACCCGACTGTACAGGAAAACATCAAGAAGGAACTTGGCGAAGTCATTGGAGAAAGACCTCCGAGATTAAATGACCGCGGAAAGTTGCCGTATACGGAGGCTACCATCATGGAAATAATGAGATTCGGAACAGTTGCACCGCTTGGTGTTACTCATCGAGCACTCAAAAACTCTTCCATCGGTAAGACAACCAAATGTCATGGAAATTCTTCTCATTTAAACCTAGGACTGTAGATTAAATTTTCAAGCTGTTACTGAAGTTACTTCATCCGTATATGTACCGGTATATTCCTTTTATTCTGCGCACACTCAAATGCTTTTGTATTTATTTTTTTTATAACAAAGGAGGCAGGACAAAGGTTAAACCCTATAACAAGGCCCTGCAAAGAATGGGCCTGATCTTATAATTTATGCCCAAAACAAAGCCAGGGGCCGTAGCCGACTTTTATCTAAGGCTGGAACATAGTGTAAACCATTTTTTAAAGCCCGTTCACATAGCCCGTCAACAATACAAGCTGAGGTAACTCCTGGTCGGAAGTGGAAAACGTGGGGGAATTCTCAAAACCCGAGAGGCAACCACTGCGCCAACCGCATTTATTATAAGTGTAGCCAAGTGTGTTGTTTCCGGAGCGAGCAACATTAGGCCTAAAAAGAAAACTCCAAATCATTATCTATATAATTATATTTTTAATTTTTATTTAGGCCTACATTATTGACGATCTTGCCTTACAAGTGTTACTGGATTAGGGAAATACTTGTAACTTGTTCATCTCAAAATATGTACAGTATAATAGCAGATATGAGACAGGTTTAATGTTCTATCTATAAGATTTAGAATCTATGTAAACATCGAAGGGTACCATCACACTAAATCATGGTAATACACAGTCGTACGTCTACTCAACGCTTCATCCGACGCATAAGGATATGAAATCTCATTTTAAAATAATACATTAGGTTTCTTACTAAATTACAATAAACGTTATCTATTCTTTGCAAAAAAATATGCTATTGGTCCACCCCTTCCCTGCCGATTATTACATGCCTTACATATATGCGTGAAATCTATTTTAAGTGTTAAATATTAATTATCTTCTAGGCTCTTACAGGATACCTGAAAATACCTGGGTGTTTGTAAACCACTGGGCACTTCACAATGACCCACAATATTGGGATGCGCCAGAGATTTTTCGGCCAGGTTAGTACAGCGAGTAATATGAACTGTAGGGTAATATGAACTGTAGGGAGTAATAAGAACTGTAGGGAAGCAGCGAGTAATATGAACTGTGGGGAAAAAAATCTAACTTAACTATAATTTTGTGTATCAATAATGAGTGATTTGCAACATACATATACAGAATGCTCTTAAACAAATTAACAAGTACCGTACCAACAATATTTTGTCTATTGTACGTTTTGTTGTTCGTTTTCCTTGTATCTAGATCAATCTTTAGACATACAGTTATAGCCTAAATATTAAACATTATTTCAACAAAATTAATGAACAGTCTTTTCAGGTAACTTAAATACGATGATGATTACCAGGTCTTATTTGTAAATTTTTGAGGCAATCGTGTATAAGATCATTATTACTACATCAAACTCTTTATACTGATCTGGTCTATCTTTCATTACATTTTGTAATTTGCTTCTTTTGCAGAGCGATTTTTGGATCCTTCAACTCTGTTAAACAGCGCTTACCAAGCTTCCTGCCGTTTTCGACTGGTCGTAGAGTGTGTGTTGGGGAATCTTTGGCTAAAGCTGCGATCTTTCTTATTTTTACGTGGCTAATCCAGAATTACAAATTCTCTAAGCCACCGGGTGTAGAAGGACCAGTAGCAGTCGGAGGTCTCCCACAGGCACTAAATGTCCCAAAGCATTACAAAACCATTGCTGTTCCCCGAAACAATGTCACATAGGCCTAAAAAGGAAATAATAAATAGCCATATAAACATCGTAACCCAGTAACATTTCAATACAATAAACAAACATTTGTTTAAAATTCTAGCTACACACTTTGTACAGAAAGTTCGTAGAAATTAGAAGAATCAGAATGTCTAACTAAATAAACAATGATTTTTTTTACATGTATAATTGACTAAACTTCATATTTTGTAACAATTCCTAGTGTATTTATAGTAAATTTATTTTAATATTTTGATATTATATAGTAGTTATTTTTATTATTATTTACTATTACTACTATTATCGTTATTATTATAAAAATATGTATGTAGTTTAAGAGGGATGGGGGTGAGGCCAAGCTTGATTAGCTCTAGCTTTACCTTGGTTACCTTTTGTATTCATATGTTTGATACAATAAAGAAGAATGTTCTTAATGTAATTTCAACTTGTGTAGAGTTTTAATATATAATTATTAAACAATTGATAGTAAGAATTTTAATATATTTTTTTCAGAATACATTTTAATGTTTTTTTGATAATATATTATTGTAGTGGTGTTTTTAAGCAATTTAAAATTTCATTATCATGTTTATAAATTAATGTCTCAATTAAGTTACATAAATGTTATTTTTGTTAAATGACATTTGTGTTCAATAAAAGATACCAAGATAAAGTATGTTTAGATTAACCTGAGTAGTAGACTTTGTTTTGCTTGCTAAATCCAGTGGCGCAACCAGGAATTCGAAATAGTAGAATCAGGGAGGCAATTTTACAGACGGAGCCTCAGCCCCAGTATGGCTGGGGCTGAGATAAAAGAAATATGATTATGGCATCTCTAAATGACCGCAAATTGCACTCTCAGAAAATTTTAGAAAATTTTGGGAAGGCCACTGAAAACCCAAATCTAACGTTTTCTGATGACTCATCATTCGTAATGTAAATAATTATAAAAATTATCTCCTGTTACCTATACACTTAACGACATTCATAGAAATAAGTGTAAAATGAAATGGTAATTTAAAGGAGTCAACAATTAGTATAATAAATAATAACAATAGGTAGATTTATAAAATGGAACACAACCGTTTCTCTTTTCTCTTAGCATGAAAAAGGTTTTGAATACCAATAATGCATTAGTTCATCACAAATAATACAATTCATGTATTTCTATTTTCATTAATAATATTCTTTTTATTATTACCAAGTTCACTTTTGACTATTATTTCGTTGATGATTTTGTTATATTAATAATAATAATATATATATAGACTTTAAGAACACTGATTTGATATATATATATATATATATATATATAATTATATTTACTTGACTGTTTATGCTGTTTATTGTTCTCATTGGCATCGGAAAACAACTAGACAGTGATTTTGTTTACTTTTTGATATTAATTGTTACGTGTCAAGTTGAATTATGTGAATGTGTAAATAAATACTATAATGTTAATACTATTGAGTGTAAAAATAATAACTAAAAGTATGCCCAATAATTACTAGCTGATGGATGATATAAATAGACCTATTAATGCGAGGATATACATGATGAATACAATGCCTACATTGATTGATTTTATTCGGATTTATAAAAAATACACAATTCACAATTTAAATACATGAAAATGATGTCAAAAAGAACGTCCCATATTGTATTGCATACGGTAAGCGACCGCTATTAGCTAGTATCACATGATTCAGACGACTTTTTTCTCAGCTTTGAGTAGCAATGACAAGTCCTACCTAGGCATGGCGTAAAGGTCATATCTCGTCATGTGCTTGCATAAACTTGATTGCATAATGGATTTTATTGTATGTACATTAATGTTCGCGTGATCAAATAAGATTTGACAATATCCTTGAATGTCAAAGGTTAGTCCTAGAGATCTCTTGATCAAACATTGCCAATTTTCATTGTGTTTACATATCGATCTCGTATAACTGCCAGTTTATTTGCAAAATGTATTTATTCATTGAGTGAGCAAGTCATTGGCAGTTAAACACAGCCCAACTGTTCATTACCTGCAAGTACTTAATTGGTAAGGTGAATCCTTATATGATAGTAGTATTATACATTGTATTGTAGCTGCATTTAGTGTGTAATTACTGTATCAATTTAATGACTTGCTCCTCGCACAATAATGAATACATCGTACCAAAGCACGATGTAGGCCTGCATCTATACCTAGTGATAACGCATCAGAAAATAGGGCAGATTTTGCCAATGGAATAATACAGATTCTGCTGGTAGTAAAAGCCAAAAATGTTACTTTCTGTACGCTCCGGTAAGCCCACCTGGCCATACACTTGGTTTAATATACACTTCCTCCAAGTCTCACCCAAGCCTCCACGGCCAGCAAGCAAAGCAAGGAAGCTTGAACTATAGAGAAAATATAAATCTGAATATAAACGAGGATTTTTTTTCTCGTCGGCACTATTTGGCCTGATGATAACAAATAATGGCCTGGAACTACGTTAATTTTAATGGTACTTACGAGGTTTTTGCACACTTCATTCAATTTTGGACTCCGTTCAAACCACCTGGACTGATTAGGGTCTAAAAGCGTCAGCTCCACACAATGGTAGGCTTACCTTTAGATGACCAAAATCTTTAGAGGGACCTGCCGACTAGGCTGTTCCTTTCTACCGCCTTCTGTACTGTTAAAAGGTTGTTGCTTATTACACTAACTGTATATTCCATTTATTTTGGTAATACCCACAATAAATACAGTGCAGTAATATAATGCTATAACACTAATTTTCTATTTTTAAAGTGTGTAAAATAAGAACAAAATTTGAAAATTTTGAGCATGAAATTGGCTCAGAAATAAGAACACTTTACTGGTTCTTATAAAAAAAAACCAAGTAAATTATTAATATCAGTGGGATTTCACGAATCATATACGAATTTGCCAAATTTATTGATAACAGGGTGAACATTTTCTTGTCAGGTTCTCTAAATAAATTCCTTCAACTCGATGATATATCGCATAATAAATGTTTCAGTACTCCATTTAAAACTCGGTCTTTTTTCCTAGAATACGTTATCACTGAATTTCCTAGGCAGTACCATGAAGCTAATAGCCAACATAGTGGTATTTTCACAACTAATTGAAATCTTGTTTCTCGATACGTTTCCTAATTAACTATTATATCCATAAACCATCCAGTAAAATAATAATACAATAAACCTTTTCTAAGCGCTTTGTATCCTTTGGCAAAAGGCGCTATATAAATTTCTATATTATTATTATTATTATTATAATATGCAATTTGATGAGTTGTGTCTTTTAGAAAATACGCAACTGGAGAATATTTAGAAAATCTCATAGGAGAGATTTTCCCTCGTATTCAGGGCGTCATGACACAGAAGGCAGGTACACCGTTTGATCCACGCGAAGTCATCACACTCGCAGTCTATAATGTAATCGCTTCAATGTGCTTTGGTCATAAGTAAGTAGCCCTCTACGAATACATACAAAAATACAGATTTTTTACCCGATTTAGAATTCACAAGAACGTATCCTAACATGTAGAACAGAAAACACAAATTACTACAGAATTTACTCTAAATATCGCCTAGCAGACGATTTTTAGATTAAAATCCACTAATGTCTAATGTGAGACATGTCGGTAACCTTTAGCTTTTAACGTTTAAGTTTGTTGTGTTTTATAATATTGCACGTTATATGTCTTGTCTTATACTACATATATGAATTAAACGACTCTAATCTACTTAAACTCATTGTGAAATAAATTAGTACATCCTATTATTCTATGGGAGCAAATAATTCGTTCTGATTCAGAACTCAACAAAAAATAAGTGTGAATAGCTTTAATGCATGTTGAGGCTAAGGGCCAACATGGTGAATTGTGGCGTGCAAAAAATGCATTTTGTTATTATAAAAGAACCCAAATATATCCTAACTTTTGCTATAGGTATGAATTCAATGACACTGACCTACGTCGATTCATTGAGATACAAAAAGAAATCAATGAACTGTCTGGAAATGGTACCCTTGCTGACTTCATTCCCTTGGCTCGGTTCCTACCAAGTCCAACTGTCAACAGATTCAAGAAAATATCAACAGAAATCTTCAAGATGTCTCAAAAAGAAATTAGGCAACATTTGGAAAGATATAGTCCGGGTAAATACAGCAATAGTGGATGGAAAATTGAAAAATAACGATGGCTTTTATTATGTATTTTTGGGTTTACAAACAATTACGGTACGCCATCAGACGTTAAAAATAGGCTCCCAGTGGGTGCGTGTGTATATTGCTTGACATAGTTTTTGCTACTCAACTCATAATCCATCCACGCAGATTGTGCACTTTTTATTTCATTCTAAGACAGTTCTTATCTAGGCATGGCATCTTATTTCATAGGCATAATTTTCATTTCTATTATATTATGACACATCCCACCATTCCTCCAACCGGATTTACTGTAACAACTTACAAGTGAGACGATATCTAAAGTGTCTACAACCCCACAGGTGCAGTAGACACAGTAAAACTGGCCTACTTTGCAGCTGAAGTTATACTATGCGATATCCAAAGAAGATATATAGATATCGTACTATGGTACTTTGTTGCTGAAGATATTTTACTGACGTTATTATCTTTGTCAGATGAACCCGCTTATGATCTAATAGAGCTACTTTTACAAGCACAGAGAGACGAATCAGAAAGTAATGAAGGCAACGGCAATAAATTAACAGACGTACACATCAAACAAATTATTCTGGATCTTTTCCTTGGTAAGTGATTTCTTTCAGTCGAGGCTTTCTTTTACATTTCTGACAAAAATTAATCTAAACATTTTAATAACTTGTTTATACGATATCGTATTTTATTGTACATGTAAATCCTATTACAGCTGGGACGGACACGTCATCAACAACATTACTGTGGTGTATCGCCTGTATGGTCGACAACCCTGCTGTACAGGAAAAAATCAAGAATGAACTTGACGGAGTCATAGAAGACAGACCTCCGAGATTAAGTGATCGTGGAAAGTTGCCGTACACGGAGGCTACCATCATGGAAATAATGAGATTTGGAACAGTTATACCGCTTGGTCTTACTCATCGAGCACTTAAAGATTCTTCCATTGGTAAGGCATTACTGTTTTCTTTAAACGTTAGCTTATTAGCCATACCAGATGCTCTACTGTAAGTTACCACTTAGTTCGGACCCTGCCAGACATTTTAGACCTCCTGTCGGTAATTTTTAATTTTATTACGTCACACTTGATGAAATCCACAACGTTTGTGCAGATCTAGTGTAGTCGCGCGCATGCTATCAGTTTGCTGTTTATTTTCCCGAAAACTTCTGACATACATTAGCTGCTGTAATAAAAGTTATTTACAATTTCATTAAAATTATTATTATGTTTTAGGCTCGTACAGTATACCTGAAAATACTTCGGTATTCTTTAACCTATGGGCACTTCACAATGACCCGAAATACTGGGATGCTCCGGATGATTTCCAACCAGGTAAGTACAGCCAGTTACGTAAACTGCAGAGAAAAAAAAACGTACTTGAATGAACTTTGTTTTATATTATTTTCATTTAATATTGAGTGACTTACTGTACTCACCAATACAGAATATGGCTAAAGAGATGATGAGGCTTACAAATTCATATTTAAATTTTTAAATAAAATACAGTACTGTCATTTGAATTGAGCTTATTTAAACCAAGGCAATTAGAGAAACAACATAACAGATAGCTCTATATTCAAAGATAGCTCTTTTTTAGTTAAAAAGTTGTTAGTGACATTATGGAGCCTTCTTCAAATTTCGAATAAATTGTTATCTGCCCCAATTTTTTCAGTATTAACGAGTAACCTCGAGGACATCTCCTTTCCTCCACCCCTGGAGACATCGGATCTCCGTCGGGCAAATGGTGGTGTTACTACTGATTTACTATGGCATATTTAAGTGTGAATATATTCTTCAATTTACTTGTTTGGGGTTGGGTAAACCAGCTTTGCTGCAGTGATTTGGTTCACTCTGGTTGTCCCTGGTCTCCCCAAATTTCAGCTTTTTTGTTGTTGTTGTAAATGACCAAATAAATAATTAAATGAAATTAAATGAAATTAAGTTACATTATTTTACTTTCGTTTTTGTCTTCAGAGCGATTTTTGGATTCCTCCAACTCTGTTAAGCAACGTCTACCAAGCTTTCTGCCGTTCTCCACTGGTCGCAGAGTGTGTGTTGGAGAATCCTTGGCTAAAGCTGAGATTTTCCTTCTTTTTACGTGGTTAATTCAGAATTACAAATTCTCCAAGCCACCAGGTGTGGAAGGGCCAGTAGCGATCGGTGGTCTCCCACAGGCTATAAATATTCCAAAGCCTTATAAAACTGTTGCTACTCTACGCGATAATAACAAGTAATAATCAAATTTAATAAATAATAATAATAATATATATTATTATTAATAACAATAATAATACTGACAATGAAGATGATGACAATGATGATGATGATAATTGTAATAATTTGATGGTGATAATTATATTGATAATGATATAATGATACTAATATTGATAATAATAATAATAATAATAATAATAATAATGATAATAATAATAATAATAATAATAATAATAATAATTGTAGCATTGTCCTTCATTATATTAAATTTTGTATATTTTTTGAACTGTAGTCTGAAACATTTTCTAACTTACACGTTAATGTTATAATCGACGGACTGTATAAAACCGCCAATGCAATCATGGAGTTATCCAGGGAACAGTAAGTTTCACTGTTCCCTGAGTTATCGTAGTACAATCATGTGCTATAGTATTAGTCAATGTGAGGACTATAATGTTTCACCCCCCCCCCCCATAAGAAATATATTCACAGGCATCCTTGTTGATGAAAGTGTCAATGTTAGCTAACAATACAATACAGTAGACCACATTATTTGCTTTTCTTTACCAACTGCAAGGCTATTGAAAGGTTAATAGGTTCGCCTTTGCAATCGGTACACTCTGTCTACTACGAGCGACTGGCGATCAGGTTTTAGGGTTTGCTGAATGATATGAAGCCATCCCCTCCATCCGGTGGTCGTAGGAAGCTTTATAGAACGTAGTGGTAGACCGGCTGCCAACACGAACCGTCACTCTCAGTCTTTTATTCCTAAAGCAATTAAACTGTATAATGAACAATTTTTGAGGTAGCCTCTACGGGCTATGTAATTTCCAGCAATGGATTAAATAAAGAGTATGTCTATGTCTATTCTCCACGACAAAAAAAATAGACCTAAGAACTAGAAAATAAGAAAGGCCTAAGTGGAATGGAATGCATCTGGTGATGGTTAGCATAAAATAAAATTCGTTGGAAAAATTATATTAACTGTGTTTTATTTTTGCAATTGTACATTTCTACATATATTTTACATAATATATTAAGTTACTATAGATCTTTTACTATTGTGAATTATGGGTTGATGATTAAATTTATATGGCGCTCACCATCTAATTTTAACGTCACTGGTCCAAATCCTGGATAAATATTAACAAGATAATGACATTTTATTGTACCTTCGTCTAAAACAAGCATAGAGTATAAAGTAGCATAGTTCATCACAGACTATTATATAGCGATTTAGTTCAGTTGTGAAGATTTGGCAGGTTTAAACTAAACGAGTTATCAAAGTATGCCATCTCTTTATAAGATTCAAAAATGTATTAGCTGTTCTTAACATGCATTATTTATAGTTAAAATTTAGAATAGTGATAAACATCTAAATATAATTCAGATAAGGTAAAATCTGATAAAATATATAACATTATTAATAATAAATCAAAATATTAATAGAGTAATATTGGTATTGACATCCAGAAACCTAAACTATATCATGTAGCTATATAAATTGCACAAACAAATTAAAGGAAACTATGGATATTAATTTATTTTGTTAGCATTTGAATATTTATATGAAATAATAATATAAAATGAATATTTACTTTATCGGCTTAAAATAGTGATGACAAATCTCAATTTAAAGGTAAATTCTGATGAAATATATAACATTAAAAATACATTGAAAGGTTAGTACTTTATATAAACATCCTATAACCTAAACTAAATCATCAAGATATATAAATTGCACAGAACAATAAATAAAAGGAAACTATGGGCATATTATGGAACGTTGGTTATCGTTTAAATATTGATATAATATCAAATAAAATTTAAAAAATAATGATTGTTAATTTTCAGCCACTCCATTGGCGTAAATAATGACAAATCTACACGTGGTGTCGTATCTCGTTTTGGCATAATCACCAGTGCAGATTGCATTTGCTTTATGGTTATGTACAATACATTTGTAAGGGGAATGGTCACATGATCCATTGCAGTTTGATAACAAAACGGCTGATTATGTTTGCATAGGAGATCCCAAGACATATACCCTATAAAGCCTGCTCTCTCACCTGGCATAATCACCAGTGCAGATTGCATTTGCTTTATGGTTATGTACAATACATTTGTAAGGGGAATGGTCACATGATCCATTGTAGTTCGATAACAAAACGGCTGATTATGTTTGCATAGGAGATCACAAGATATAGACCCTATAAAGCCTGCTCTCTCACCGAAAATCATATACCTGTACTGTATTCAGAAAGCGAGCCATTAATTGTAACGTCAACGAAGCACAGAAGTTCTTAGAAGGTAAGTTGGATTTAGGCTTGTCACGTTGTTACACGATGCTTTTATCAGTGCGACAATACAATTACTGGCAACAAGCAGATATTGCACTTGGTGCTCTTATTGTATGCGGGATTCTATCTAGGTCTATTTAACCAACAGAACTGACAGTCCTTGTAATTTGCCTTGCGGGACTGTTTATGAATCGTTGACTACTACACACGTAACTGTTCCATATATTTCACTTACTTTTAGGATGTTGGATGATATAACGACCGGTGTATCTTTACTATTAGTAGCAGGTGTCTTGTTAATAACATGGATGTACATGAACATACGGAGGCCACCTGGAATGCCATCTGGTCCAACGCCCTACCCAATCATTGGAAATGTTTCAGGTAATAGTATATTGATAGTAATTGTTATTGTCGTGATGGAATAGACAATAACTGGATTTGCGTCAGGAGAAACATGTATAGGTGTAATTTTGCTCTACCTGACGTGGAAATGTACTGAATACTCAGTAGATTTGAAAACATTTGCGAAAAAAAAATTGCAGTGTAGACTCGAATTCAAACCTGGGCATCAGGCGCAAGCTCGGTGGTCTAGAGGTATGATGCCAGGCTAGTGATCTGGAGATCGTGGGTTCGAGTCCCACCCGAGAACAACTTGCGATTTTTTCACAATTTTTTTCAAACTTTCTGAGTATTCAGTACATTTCCACGTCTTGGTAGGCAAAATTACACCTATGCATAATAGTATATTATTATATAATGTAATACATATTGTGGATATGTAAATATAATAAGAATAGTTAAAATTATATTTATCAATTTAATAATATATTAATAAGTCTAATAATATATAAGTTTTTATATAGCGCTCTACACAAGTCTCAGAGCACTTTCCCCCTTTATTACACTAGTCATTAAAAAGATGTCTATTGGAGCAATTCCATAGTTTACCGCATGAAATATATCAGCCCATTTGCACTTGAACCTCCTCGTACACCTACTTACTCAGGTCTGGGTGAAGAGAAGTTGGATTGCCCATGGTCGCAAGCGAATTGCACAGAGAGGCATTGACACCCAATCTCAGGGTTAATAGTCCAAGCCATCCATTGTGCACAACACAACAGTTAAGCATCCTAGCTCCAACCGCTTGGTTATTTATGAATAAATAAAAAATCTAAAATTTCATCTACATAATTTGTATGATACTAATGATGAACGCTATGTTTTGACCTGCCACATGTCATCATCAGGTAATACAGTTCTTAGCAAATAATATGCCTTTTTTTAAACAAAGTATTTATGGGCAAAACACAACCACATGAAATATTCAGAGACATGTCGAAGAAGTACGGACCAATAATTTCTTTCAAAGTTGGACCAAACTGGGCTGTGGTGATAAACAATTACGAACTGACGCAAGAAGCCTTGCTGTCGAAACCAAACGATTTCAGTGGACGTCCAAGTCTCTATCTTCGTAAGTTAGATTTTGTCAGTGTTGAGCTAAGTAAATTGAATAATAACGTTCGATACGTTTCTGAACATAAATCTTTATATCATCACAAACGCTTTCCAATGTTCACTAAATTATATATATGCTAAGACAAATTAATAATAAGTATATAATAATTATAGTATAACTATATTGATAATAATAATAATTATTGTATATAATGAAATAATAATATTAATAATAATAATAATAATAATAATAATAATAATTATTATTATTATTATTATTATTCTTATTCTTATTATTATTATTATTATTATTATTATTATTATTATTATTATTGTTATTATTATTATTAGTGGACTGGGCCTCTGACAATCAAAAGGACATTGTTCTTGCTCAACCAACTCCAATCTGGAAGTTCCACAGAAAACTAGCTCATTCAGCTATCAGGTTAGTATACAGCCAAGTTCAATCATTGATATAACTGATTCAACCTTCAATCATCTTAATCTGAGGAAGGCTAGCAAAGTATTACCTGCAATGATGGGTAAGATACAGATAGTGTACATGACTGTGATTTGTTGGTTGATATAAGAGAAGATTGTGTCTTACCTAAGTTGTATTTAACACATAGTTATAAACAAGTACCGTAAATGCTCGAATAAGCGCAGCTCTCGAATGAAGCACCAAACTTAATATTTTTCGTAGCGCCACGGCGTTTAATCGAGGGTATAATTACCCTGTGATGTAATAAAACACTGAGAAACAGGGTTTTAAATACAATGTATACATTGTTAAAAAAATGCATAACACAATGAAGACACAAACATTTCTTTATAAACGTTTATTTACGATGATGTAGGACCCATGATAGGCCTACCGAACTATGGGAATACGTGAAATAGGTAACAAGGGAACGAGCATGGAAAGTGCTACGCCAATATTATTTTATAAGCGCTGCTCCCGAATAAGCGCTGCACTGAAGCCTCCCAAAATTTTTCTAATTCGAACATTTAATATTTGATGTATTCTCTATTTAGAAAATACGCAACTGGTGAATATTTGGAGAATCTCATTGGGGAAATTATACCGCGTATACAGAGCGTCATGACGCAGAAGGTTGGGACACCTTTTGATCCACATGAAGTCATCACACTTGCAGTCTATAATGTAATCGCTTCAATGTGCTTTGGCCATAAGTAAGTAGACTATCGTACGTTAGCTTCTTTTAAAAAGTAACCCTCGTTTATATTTGTTTGTTTTTCTGATTTTTCTTTCTTTATTATTTTTTTTTTATTATTGCCCACTGATAAAGCATTATGTGGTCCTACCTTTCTTATTTTCATCACTGTTTGCAATGGAATTTACCGGATCGACAACCACAAGTAGAATATTATGGAAAACAAAACAGTAAATCGTGAAACCGATAAATATTAAATGAACCATTTAAATAGATGATTTTAAAATTAAAATTTTAAAAACCAGGAATCTTTTATAAAGCGTCTCTTACTCTAAAGCGTGTGTCATAACATGGGTCAATTACCTCCTACCAACTAGAAAAATTGATTGGCCTGCTGTTTATTGACAACATAAGCTTACACCATTACATCATGGAGAAATTAAAGTATACCTACAGAGTGAATGAAAGGTCTACTTATGACTTTATAGTACATGTGTACAACTCAGAATTCGTTGTGAACACAGTAAAGACCATTTGTGTTCGTATAGCTAAACATGTGCACTTTAAGGTGAAGAACCAAGTTGTAAACTACGTCACATAGTGTGTGTTATAAAACTTTGAACTCTAATATATCCTACATTTTGCCAAAGGTATGAATTCAACGACCCTGACTTACGTCGAATTATCGAGTTACAAAAAGAAATTAATGAAGCATTTGGAAATGGTACCCTTGCTGATTTCATTCCTATAGCTCGGTTTCTACCAAGTCCGTCAGTCAACAAGTTTAAAAAACTGATAACAGAATCCTCTACGATGATTGAAAAAGAAGTTAGTCAGCATTTAAAAAGATATAGTCCAGGTAAATAGAGCCATTTCTAATGGAAATTTGAACAACTATGAGTTTGCAAATTATTACGGTACGTTAGGAGGTTCTGTTAGATTTTATTCATTATTTTGTCGATATACACTACTGATGTGCGAAGGGTTAAGCCTTTATTGAGTTTTTATGTTCTTTAGATGAGCCTGCTAATGATCTGATAGAGCTGCTTCTGCAAGCACAGAGAGAAGAATTACAAGAAAATGATGATGAAACATCCAGAAAATTGACAGACGTACACATCAAGCAAATTGTGGATGATCTTTTCAGTGGTAAGTTATTGCATTTCTACACAAGAAAACGTCTCTTTTGAATTACGTAATACGTAGTTTGGCATGATATCCTATTTAGCTGTAATTCTGAATCCTTTTGACAGCTGGAACGGACACATCATCAACTACATTATTGTGGGGTATCGGCTGTATGATCGACAACCCTTCTATACAGGAAAAAATTAAGAAGGAACTTGACCAGGTCATTGGAGACAGACCTCCAAGATTAAGTGATCGTGGAAAGTTGCCATATACTGAGGCTGCCATCATGGAGATAATGCGATTTGGAACAGTTGCACCTCTTGCTTTTACTCATCGAGCACTTAAAGACTCTTCTATTGGTAAGGCATCATAGTTATTCTGATTTTATTAGTCAGATATGACATGGCATTATCTTTTTACTTTTTCTTTTGCACACGTCACACCCTAATTTCTATTCTATGGAATATCCTGCCTCCTCCCATTAAAACTTCTATTCTGTCAGCAGTTGAAATGGTAAGCCTTAAAACCTGTCTGGTTATTGTGTGTTTGGGCTGGGATTGGTAGTGTTGCACACATTTCATTTTATTATGTCTATCCTTTATATATTACCATTGATTTACTTTGGTGTTTGACTCATGATAACATACTGTTGGTTTTGGTTGGGGTGGTCTGTACTTAAGGGAAGTTATAATTACAGTAAAGGTAGTAACCGCAAAAGAAAAGCCGTTAGTAGTAGCGACTAGTGCTGTGCTTGCTATTTTACTCGTAGACCTAATTATTTTAGGCGTTGGTAGTCCTGTTTACAGTACTTCACCATCCTAAATATATCCGTCCGTGGAAAATTGCATGTGTTTTACCTACGTAGTAGCGGAACCAGGAATATGAAACAGGACGCTCCACCATAATGGTTAATCAAGTTTATGTATATTATAGCATTTCAGTTGCCAAAAATGGCCCCTTCAAAGAGTTAAGATTTGGATATATTCTTTGTTCATATTGTATTTTTTAATTTAGAAAAAAAAATAGCGGGGAGGGGAGGGTGGGCTGGCCATTTCTTTAAATTCGCCACTGCTACAGACACTAAGCATACTCTTTAGGTAACCATACAATTTCGGAACATTGTAATATTTTTGTTTTTTAAGATTTGTTGATCACGCGCATTATGGAATCCACAAAAGCTTGTGCAGGCGCCAAAACTAATAGTTTAAGTCGCAAAAGTGGTATTAGTTTGTTGCATGTTCTTTAATGTTTTTGTTACATAAAAATATATTAGCGAATGTTATTAACAAATCAATATTAATACATTTTAGGCTCGTACAAGATACCAGAAGATACGTGGGTGTTCTTTAACCTATGGGCACTTCACAATGACCCGAAATATTGGGATGCACCAGAGGTTTTCCAGCCAGGTATAGTATAGCCAGTAACTTTAATGACAGAAAAAAATGAAAATAGATTATACATACATACATACATACACAC